AGGAGGAACCAGCAAAAAGAGGAGGTATTTGTATATAGACTTCATGCCATTGGAGATATCCATAAGTTGAAATCAAATATTAGTTATATTAGCAACATAAACTTCAGAAAAATGTTGACAAAGACAGTCCCAGCTAACATGAACAATGATCAATAAACAGATTCAGATAAGATAAGGTGGAGGTGGTGAGATGCCTCATAACGAGTCGGTCCACCTTAAACCATGCAGTATAAGCCAAATTGGCAGAGGCAGGCTGATCACTAAAACCATGAAGGGTTTGAGAAGAAGCCACATAACTCTCATCGACATATCTACATACATAATGACTACTAAGGAACTCTCATACAAGGTAGTTACCCTCAGAAACTTGAGAAACTGAGCAACATTATTGGAGCTAGAAAGAGAGAAAGTATGAGTGGGTGAAGCATCCGTGAAAGAAGAAAAGAGGTTGTAAAAAGGAAACATAAGTTACGGCAGAAGAAAATTGGTTAAGAGAAGTTTGTGAGAACCTTTGATACCATATATAATAGTGAAACTCGATAATTTATCCATAGAGAGAAACCATGTATTTATAAACACTATGAATACATGAAACCATGTATCCATAGAGAGAAGCTTATGGCATATAATGAAGAAGCTTCATGAAAAGCTTAAGAGTTATAAACACTATGAATCTTTTTTTGGGTTAATTTTACTTCAGCTTTTACTAATAACTAATTTTTTAATTTGTTTTCAATTTCAATGTTTAATTTTCCTATCTCTGTCCCTTTTACGTGAATTCCAAGCCTATACATTTAGCCACTATACATTTACCCGCATTAGTCAATTTTCAACGTAAGCTACTTTGGAAAGGGAGATAGGATTGGAGGCCCTGGTTTAACTTTTGAAGAAGAAGAACACAGTTTTGCTCTTTTATATTCTTCAATTAGGAATTGAAATTTAGCTAGGATCCCAAACACAATAAATCCTCAACAGAACAAGTTTACCTAATCAAAAGACAAAGATCTGATTCACCTTCTTCACACAATGATCTTCTTTATACCATAAGATTTCCTAGCTAACCAGACATAATCTGTTCAATGGATACCCATAATTCTTTTTCATGTAACTCGGTCTCAAAATTACAAAGCAATATCTATATCAACGACGCAATCGTGGCCCTAATGCTTTTCGCTTTTGCATTTTTTTTATAAGAAACACAGAGTTTATTAAAAAAATATTAATCATTTCTTACCTTATTGACTTACAAAATTTCCTCATTCAGGACAAATACCAAAGCTCCAACAATGCTGCCTCTAAGCTTTAACTGCATCTTAGAAAGTAATATTAACCTTCAAATAGTGTTTAAGAACAAAAATCACAACTTTTAAGGCGCATACCTCTGGCTTAGCTCTGAAGGTTGTGGCATACAAGTCCAAGGGGAAAAGACAAACGTGTTTTTTTTTTTGAATAGAAACTTATATATTCAAAAGAGAAACAAGAACACAGAACAGGAACACGTGGATAAGGAATCCACAGAGCAAAGCAAAAGCAGGGAGCAACAACACCCACTAGAGAACACGCCTAAAAGGAAAAAAAACAGCCAAGAAAAATCAAACAACCAGAACTAGAGCAAAAGAGAACTAGGAGGCCATCATTTCACTGCCGCACACAAATCACGACAAATAGCGGAAGCAGACAAATCCTTAAAGATATTGGTGACAGAAGCCCATAAAGCCGCCCAAAACTTCACTCTATCCCAAAGCTCGTCCACCCCCACCCCCTTGTAGTCCTCGAAAATCCTTCTATTCCGTTCAATCCATAAATTCCAAAAAAGAGCCTGAACTAAGCACCCCCAAAGGACTTTAGCCTTTTTCCCTTTACCCAGAGCAACAAAATTGGAGGAAAATAACTCAAAACAACCTTTTAGGGATGACCCAGACAGCACCAACTTCCTTCAGCAGTGACCACCAAATCTGAATAGAATAAGGGCAATGAATGAACAGGTGATCCACACACTCCCCAGCAGAATTGCAAAGCACACACCAATGGGGGGATAAACACGTAAAGGGGCGATGTCGCTGCATCAGATCGCACGTATTAACTCTTCCAATGGCAGCTTGCCAAACGAAAACCTTGACCTTAGGAGGGGTTTTACTTTTCCAAATCAGATTGTACGGAGGAAAACTCTCCGCAGGCTCGTTATCATGAATGAAAGAATAGAAGGAGTGGCAGGAGAACAGCCCGGTCTGGTCTAGCTTCCATCTTCTGTAATCCATCCTGGAAGGGATAAGTCTAACATCATCAAGGATAACCAACAGCCTAGTCACCTCATCTAGTTCCCCCACCGTGAGGTTCCTTCTAAACCCAAGGTCCCAACTGTGAGGAAACACACCGTGACTCAAAGTAGTAGAGATGTTGGCATTCTGCTTGCTGGACAAATTGAAAAGTCTGGGAAAAACCTCTTTGAGAACTCCCCCCTTGCACCAATCATCCTCCCAAAATCTCACCTTTTCCCCGCTTCCCACCACAAGGTCGCAGCCAAGAAGAAACACCGGATAGCCACGCGAAATGTTATTCCACGGTTTACGACAAGAACTACGCAACGGAATACAAGCGTTCCAACCGTTAGCACTCTCCCCGTAAATGCTACTAATCACCTTGTGCCAAAGAGAGTCCGGTTCAATGGGAAACCGCCACAGCCATTTGGCACACAACACCTTGTTTCTTGAGTTTAAAGACCCCACCCCTAGGCCACCTTTGCATTTTGGTTTTCCAACAATCTCCCACTTAACCAAGTGAGAGGACTTCCCATCGTCCAAACCCTCCCACAAGAAATCTCTCATCAGCTTCTCAACAATCTTCACAATACGACTTGGCATTTTGAAAAGCGACAAGTAATAAATGGGGATGTTGCTTAAGACGGCCTGAATCAAAGTTAGCCTTCCACCTTTGGAAAGGCAAGCCTTCTTCCAATTTTGCAGCCTTTTTTCCACCCTCTCCACAACTGGGTCCCAAAAACAAAGAGCTCTGGGATTCCCACCAAGGGGGAGACCCAGGTACAAAGTAGGCCAGACTCCCAACTCGCAGCCCCAATCCCCAGCCAACCCAGAAACTACCTCTTCAGAATGATTAATGCCAACTAAAGAACATTTCTCCTTATTAATTCTCATACCTGAAATGAAACAGAACAGGTCTAATATCTCAAGAAGATTGTGCCAATACTCCAACTTATCCCCGATAAAAAACATCGTGTCGTCGGCAAACTGGAGGTGAGAAACTTCCACCATGTCATGGCCAACAACAAGGCCGTGAAACACATCCAAATCCTGAGCTTTCTCAAGAATGCGGCTAAGAACATCAATCACCAGAATGAAAAGAAAGGGAGAAAGAGGGTCACCTTGTCTCAATCCTCTAGAGGCCTTAAACTTACCTCTAGGTCTGCCGTTGATCATAACAGAAAAATTTGCCGATTCAAGACAACCTCTAATCCAACTTCTCCACCTTTCCCCAAACCCTTTTCTAAGCAATACATCATCTACAAAGTGCCACTCCACATGATCATAGGCCTTTTCAAAGTCGATTTTGAAAGCCAAGCCAACTTTCTTACGACTCTTGCACTCCTCCACTACCTCATTAGCAATCAAGGCAGCGTCTAAAATCTGCCTATCTCTCACAAAAGCTCCCTGGGAAGAGGAGATGGTGCTCCCCATCACCTCCCTCAATCTCGAGGCTAAAACTTTAGAAATCACCTTATACAAGCTTGTCACAAGACTAATAGGCCGAAAATCACTCACTTTAACGGACTCTTTTTTCTTGGGGATAAGGCAAATGAACGTTTCGTTTGTGACCGCGTTGATAATGCCATTGTGGTAGAATTCCTCCAGAGTCTTTAGGAGCTCCACTTTCACAGTATCCCAGCAAGATTGGAAGAGAAGCATGGAGAAACCATCAGGCCCTGGAGATTTATCTCTCCCACAATCGAAAACAGCCCTTTTGACCTCCTCTTCATCAAAAGGTCTCTCAAGCCTTGCAGCCTCATCAGAACTAATGCGATTCCAATTCAGGCCCTCCAAACCCCAACCTGCCTCTTCATTACTCCTATAAAGAGTTTTGAAGAAAGAAATAATTTCAGCCTCAATCTCGTCTTCATTAACAAACGTCCCTAATCCCTCCACCTCCAGCCTCTCGATGAGATTCCTCTTTCGCCTACCATTGGCTAAGCGGTGGAAAAAATTAGTGTTCCCGTCGCCATCTCTAGCCCACTCCACTTTACCCCTTTGTCTCCATTTTATCTCTTCTTTAATGACCAAATGACCATTTTAGGCTTCTGCAACTACACTCTCAGTCTCTATTTTCTCCTCTTTCAGTTTCTTCACAGCTTTTGTAAGACCCCGTGTAATCCCATTGAGATGCAAGCCATTATCCTTCATTTCTTCAAGTAGTTTTTCTGCTGTTTCCCAATCCAAGGCCTTGAGGCAGAGAGATTGGATCAACTTATTGTGAAGGAACTGAAGGATAATGGCTTGCATCTCAATGGGATTACACGGGGTCTTATAAAAGCTGTGAAGGAACTAAAGGAGGAGAAAATAGAGACTGAGAATGTAGTTGCAGAAGCCTAAAATGGTCATCTGGTTTTTGGTATGTGGATGTTATGATGAAGACTGGGGAAATGAAGTGAAGCTTTGCGGTTGACACATATCATCAGCACTTATATTTATCGTCTGAGGTTACACATTTCCATGTGGTTGGCTGAAAGGACAGACAGCTTAGATATATATTTTGATCCAAAATTTAGTCTTATTACTGCATAAAACCGAATTACCTTTTATTTGTACTATTGTGCATTTGGCATTGAATATTGGGACTTGTCGATTAATTGAAATATATATCCATTTCAGAATGGAAGTACCACCAGCTAACGTCATGGTGCAGTACCATTCTATAATTTCTCCCAGGGAGGAGTCAAAATCTCGCATGGGGTGATGGTATGTTAAAAGAACTTGGCTTGCAATGTTAGCTAATGCATAAGGTAAATTCTCTCCAAATGCACGAATAAGAAAAGATTTCAGTACTCAAGGCATTTTAGACAACTGAAAAAAATATACAAATAATTGATGCAACAACTATCAACAATGCAACTATGTCTCTTACGCCTCTCATCTTCTCAACGATGTTTCTACTCTTCTCCTCAATGTGGCGCCTCTTTTCTTCCAATTTCTCCCCCATCTTCTTCCCCAGATCAAGCATCCTTGCTTTTCTCCCCATTCTCTTTCGCCTTGATTCATCTTCTTCACTGGTATGATTCTCTTTATCCAACAATATAGTAGACCACGAAGGTGATGGTGATGGTGATTGACTCTCTGGTGTCTTCTCTAGCTTGTGTTTGAAAGTGTCTTGTGGTTCACCATTCCCCAATAAAGGGGTTCTCAATTCTTGAATAGTCCCGTCAGTACTCCCAGCAGACAGATCATTGGAACTCACTGAAAAGACTAAAGCATCTGAGGATTCACCAAATGGCTGTTCAATAGACACGGCCTTCTTGAGTTTTTTATCCCTGGGTTGTGAATGATCACTGGAGGTTCCCTTGTTAGCTTCTGTCTTGTATTTTCCTTCAGTGGGTTGGCAGATGGGTACTTCACATACAGTGGTGGGATCATTCACGCATTCTTGGTTAAGCCATATGAAAGGAGCAACCGTTCGGGGTAACCAATCATCCTTTTCTGCTAGCATCCATGGTATGCATACACTTTCGAAGTTTGGAAGAACTAGAGTTTCTCGGATTGCTGTCTGTACAAGTAAAATGAAGCTTCAGCGGAAGCACCTAGCAATATTTGTTGCTTCCACATATCACTTACGTTTTTTTAGCGAAAAATCTAAGCATAAGATTGTATGCATGCCATCAAGGACACTAGAAAAATATTTGCAAAAAAGATGCTCAAAGTTTAAGATCAATGGAAGGAAAATACTTCCCTATCCTGCTTCATCAAATCAAAACATTGGAACGACAGAGAGTAGCTACGCAGTAACTTACAGTAACAAAAAAGGATAAAAGATAAAACCATAAATTTATGGTGTAAAGGCATTCTGTTGAGCTGAGCTTAGTAGCCTTTATACACTTATAGATAGATCTTTCCGAAAGCAGCAATAACTTATTTACGAGCTTATATTTGAAAAATAAGAGAGATATTAGAACCACGTTTAAACTAAGGTGACATCAAGTAGTTCAGACAACATAGTAACAATCATGGTGTTGATTGAGTTATTAATAAATTGAGTTTTTTTATTATTTAATTATTATAAATATGTTATTATTCATAGAAGAGAAAAATGAATAAAAAGAAAATAAGATAGACCAAAAAACTTCATGCTTGAGTTCTAGGCATGTTTTGAGATCAAAAAAGTAATAGAAGGAAAATTAGCGAAGATGGAATGTACCTTAAGTCGACTGATCAGAAACAGAGCTATGCGTCCACTAGTAATCTTGTGATCTCCCACTGACGAGTCCAGGCTGAAATCTATATCAGGCATGGATGTGAAGGCAAACCATAACTGGTCTGAAGGAGGTGGCTTGATATGTAACCGCAGTGTTCCTCGAAGGGATGCTATTCTTATTTCCAAAGAGAGAGGCAAACCATAACCGGTCTAAATATAATCAGTCAGTGAGTGAACTGCAGATGCTCTTGTGATAAATAACCCTTTTTTTTATGAATACATACACATATAAATAGAGAGGGAGGGGGAGAGAGAGAGAGAGAGAGAGAGTCCAGATGACAAACACATTAACTCAAAGAAACTTATAACCAGTATCTATTCGTGATTATAAATCCCTTTGGCGATGCCCCTCTCTAGAAAATACAAACTCAATTTTCAAATGACTATGCTCAAACTTTTTTTCCAGATACTTGATTACAACTCAACTATCCAACAGTTGGTTTACTCTTCATGGTCTAATCATCTCTCTCTACAGTCATGCCTTATAAGATTATGCCACAGAGAAAAAGGGCCAACTCAAATAAACACATATTATTGCTCAAAACAAAAAACTAACCGCCAGATATCTGTCTCAATGAAGGGGACAGATATTATGGAGATAAGCAATAGCCATGTTTCTCGTGGAACCAAGCCATAGAAACAAAAAAGTCTACAGAATAACACATATAGGTCAGATAGCCCATCTAAAAACCTGTGAAACTTGTTTGGCAATGGAATTTAGAAGTGGCTTCCACCTGGATCCATAATTTGATGAGGACATATTGCTCTTGGAGCTCTTTGATCCATCTGCAACGGAACGTTTCAGGTTGAACTGCCGTTATATAACTTGAAGCTTTTACTGTGGTGTGAAATTGAATTGGAAATAATATTTAGCAATGTCAAATTGGAAATAATTGCATGCTTTAAGTTCCTGTGAATATGCTTGAAGGTTTCTTTCATTCTCTACTACAAGCCTATAGATAGCAGACCTTTTGTAAGAATGATATTCTAAATGAACCTAAAAAGTGCACGATTGGAATTATTGGAACCACATTGTTGGGTGGCCCTCATTAGATCACCTGTCTATGCATATAGAATTTTTTTTGGGTTGTTATGTCCGTATCCGGACATTGTGCCGTTCAAAATGCATCATTTGGCAGGTCAAACAACGCCTCAATTATTGTTATTATTGTAGTTTTAGATGCGGTTTCCCACATGATTGGTTATCTTAAGGTGTGAAATTGCCATTTAGAGTTTTAAGTTTAGGTTTTAACTCTCAAGTTCTGGGCAGTTAAAGGTGGGCACTTCTACAGCAAAATCAAGAGAACTGGCCAAACTGAACCGGTTGAATGGGTCAAAAAATCAATCTTAAAACTCCTCAATCAATGTTATTTCCAACCGAAACAATATGACTATATTTTATTATTCTTATTCAAAACTTACCTTTCCACATGGCTCCGTTCCATTGGCTGGCAAATCTTCACTTCACTATGGTCCTGCCCTATCAGATCCGTACACTAGATTAGATCTTCAAAATCTGGAGCAATAATATTCCTCTATCTTCATCAACCTGCCTCCGCCACACACGCACTCTCTCTCTCTCTCTCTCTCTCTCTCTCTCTCTCC